ACTAACGAGTGGGACGCTTTAGGCCGTTTTTATTTTCATGTTTTGTGGGAATGCGCGGCCTCCGAGGGATGTTGCAGAAGCAGCACAGTTGCTCTTGAGTTCTGGCCCTCGTCATCATCTTCGGTTCTTATTTTGCAGCACCTAAAATGTTATCCGCATCAGGAAATCGTTTTACTTGTATTCCAAAGCGGTCAGGACTTGGCAAAGAGAGCCGCACGTGACCCGCGACGACGGCTGTTACCATGAACGGGAGTTTGCGCCGCAAAAGGTATTGGGCGGAGCATGGAGGAATTAGCGTGTTTCACGGTCCTGTATCTCCATTCCTGCGCATGTTAGGACGGGGAAACCGCTACGCTTCGACAGCTGGGGGGCTGATAGTCACGCACACCCAAACTATGTGTGATCGTATCCATGTGTCTTTAAGGTGAATGATATACGATGACAGTGGGACCACAAGGACATGATTTCATTCTTCAATACTTCCGTGCTCGGACGTTCCTGAATATGAAGAGAAAATACCATTCATTGTGTATAATCAACTAATACTGAGTTGGCAGCTGCCTACAAAGTCTGTAACTGAGTTGCTTCTTAGCTCACTGCATATGGAGTAGAGAGAATTGAAGATGAATAAAAAAATAAACAAGGCTCGTGAAATAAGGATTCAACCTTTTAATCGTAAAATAGACAGTCCAGAATTGTTGACAGAACCTAGGCAAGAGTGAGTGGGATCCACTTTAGGTGAACGGAGAGTCCTAAAATCTATAGCAAAACAATGCGCTTTCCATTTGTGAACAAGGATCTTCTAATTTCAATCTGTTCCGTTAAATACAGTGTACTTCGCTGCGGACGGTTGAGGCGTGTCAGGCGGGATGAGTTTGGCGCGGTGCCAAACCCGTTCTCCACCAGTTGTTAAAGCGAGCAAAGACTTGTATCATATCGTTCGTATTACTCGTTTTCTACCACTTTTTGTCGCATGCGCGCTTCAACAAGAAGGCAGAGAACGGCTTTGAAGGCGTGACACACTCATACTGCCTGACACGCCCAACCGTCGGCAAAGAACTAGAGTATACACGGTAAAAAATTGGGACTGTAGAATTGTGAAAATGCAGCTCACCTGGGAAGCATTTTTTCCAAAGTCGCAGAAGCTCTTCCATGTCTTCGGTGGTCCTAAACATGATCAAACGAATTCGGATAAGTTGCTCATTTTGCGAACCAGTTCATTACAATTCTACAAAAGGAGTTATGAATGTGCATAGAGAGCTCCTAATTATATTACTGCAAAGACAGAAGAGGGGATATATGCTGGCTCGTTTGTGTGTATATCGTCACGAAGTAGGGCAGTTGCGTAGTTTTCTGTTCCAACAATTATAGTGGTTTGGCTTCAGTCGATTACCACATGGGTTGTTATCCAAATGAATGCAGCCTTATGCTTGTTGGATACCTATGATTTATCATGTGAACGTTGTAGAACATTCTCGAAACTTCTAGTGCAGAAGGTAGAGGCGCGTGCCTTTTCTAACCAGGTTGGTCTACGGACAACTTGAACTCAATCCCGTCGATCTTCTCTTTTTCTCTGCACTCTCTCGTCCGCATGGCACTCTATGGCCGTTGTGACTTCGCTCACTCCAGCTTTTCACCGACTATAAGTAGCTCACCCACCCCGGAGTCCCCTCCCTTGAAAAATCCCGTTTCCTGGCTCGCCATACGTTTTTTGCACGTTTCGATGCTTTGGCAGCCGCTGCCCTCTATCCGTCTGCGTCACAGGGTTTCGTAACAGGACCATGCACAAAAGTTCTAAGATGTCACGTAACCTTTTAGGTCTGGGTTTAAGCACGATCCTAAATTCACTGAAGCTGTTTCGTCAAATGCACCCAGTCAACAGTCACTAACCACCTAGCTGTCGGTTACCAAATTGCTGACCTAATGGATCACTAATACCTTCATGGATAACACGTCCATCTGCCAGCATTTCCTTCTGTGCTTACATCACAAAGAGTTTCTAGAAGACTTTCGTCTCCAAGAATGGACTCCAATTCACTGCGCACCATTTGACTGTTTAGATGAGAAAAACCAAGCAAGCAGATTCGGACGTGCACCACAAAACAGTTCTCTTCTGCAGCTTCTGTACTACGAGATGCTCCCGCAAGGGCACATGATCAACACTGGCGTACACGGAACACAGCTCCAGGAACTCGTGGAAGATATTCAAGGAGAACAGTCAAGATGACCTTTCGTGCAACTTCTCCATGATAAGCCAAGACTTCAAGTGGTTTAATAGTACCACCGAAAAGTCGAGGAGCTGAGAAACCATACCTCATTCATCGTATTCCCCTGACACTCCCTCTAATAAGCGCTTGTTCCATCCTTTGAAGGCTTTCTTAAGCACGCATTCGATGTTTGGTGACATTAGTCGGTGGCCGCTGACTTGTTTGGTCACAGTCTCCCCGATTCCAGAAAAACGGGATCGCTGACCTGGTCAGTAGGTGGACCACAGCGATGTCTAACAATCAAGGCTTTTCCACTGATTTAAAACTCCTAATTCACCTCTTATTCACCTCGACTGTTTTCTTTCTGCAAATCCATAGATCTTGATCAGAACAAATTATAGGAACGAATAAAAGATCTAAAAGAACAATTTTCTATTTCTCGTTCTATTACGTTATCCCACTTTTTTCCATTTTTTCGAAAAAGTTATTCGCACATTAGGTGTTCTCAAAACCATTACGTGTGTATCAAATCACAGTAACCTTACCGTAATCAATATAGAACGTCGAAAACAGTAATGTTACACTATCTGTCAGAAGTAATCATTCGAAACTAGACAGCCAGCTGCCGTTTAAAGGCAGTTGGCACGATAAATCCCCAAGACGAGTAGGAATACTCCTGGCAGGATAGAATTCCGCGACCCTGGGCAGGCGCTGCATAGCGGTTTCCCCGAGGAAGGTGCCCTTATAAGGGCCCTATCAAGCCACAACTTTACGTCCCAACGCCCGCCACGCCCGCCCGCCCACAAATGGACGACCGTTCCTGACGCTCGTATTCATTCATTTGCTAAGCAAATTATGAAGCGAAGGGTATGAAGCGGCCGTGATGCTGCATGCATACATGGGTACACATATGCAGCCGTATCTTCGGTAGCGGTGATTGGTAAGATGCCTACGGGAAACTCGTCCGAAATCGATTTACAAGTCACTGAGAACGGAGGCTTTTTCTTCGCAGGATTTTGACCTTTTCACTATACAGCGCCCTACTAGCATTTTAGGCTGAGTAGGGAAACCATCGTGCCAACTGCCTTTAACCAAATTCCATCCCTACACAGCCTTCACCGCACATCTGGCAATCAATGCTGCAACCAAGCTTTTCCTAGCTGTTAGATACGGTGCAGATAACCAAGAATCATCATTCAAGCGTAGTTTGAATAACAAGACAGCTCAGTACTTGAACAGTGGTTTTTCGCAATACTCGTTACCAGCTAGGGATATCAGGTGCTGTTTCATATCTTATAGGGGAACGAAAAGAAAATTGATTAGGTCTCAAGATTGAAATCTTACTCTGTAGATTTCACTCCCATATACGGCACGTCTCCATGCTTGAGTTTGTGGTGGCGATACACCTGTAAACAATAATCAAACGGTGGATACTACTCAACAAGATTAGAGCATTCAAGGGGATTCACCTTTCTCGGACAACTAGCCTTATAGTCACAAATTTTACATGACTTGACAGCATTATTCCAATGAGTGCGGACATGATCAAGTAAGCGGTTCTTTCCATAACGACGGCGCCATAAAAGCTTTTTACCGCAGCCCTGGAAATTGCAACCAACAAAAACTACGATCCAGCAAGGGTTCTAATGAAAACATCTAGAACTCGAATAATTAAACAAACAAACCAACAACTGGCACTGGAAGAATTTCGAGTTCTCTGTCTCGGAGAGTGAGGCGCCTCCACTTTGAGGGACCTGAACAGCACAAGCCTTTTAGTCCAGCGCTCTACTAATCTATTGGGTTGGCCCATGAGTAAAGGTTTTTTCTCACTCGAAATTTCTCTTTAAATGAGAAGTTTCGTCATTGAGTTTCACATTATTTTGCAGAGAGAATTCCTTGCCCAATGAGATAGTCTGCCTAGTTTGTTCGGAGATTCGATTTCCACAAATTTTCAAGTGCTCAAGTTGGAGTGTCACGTGTACGCGGAAGAAACTTTCAAAACATGGGAGCCACATAGGTAGCCAGATGGAGTGACCCTCTCAAAGCCTTTTGTGAACGATAGAAATGGCACGAGAAGTGAACCGCATTGTGAAGTTCTCAGCATTCCCATCCGACTCGTCTTCTGCCCTCCTCCCACACTTGGTGACCTCCTTACCTCGTCCCGGATCTACGAACGTGTCACGAACATTCTTGTCGATACTGTTCATCCGAGAAGATCTGTGAACTCCAAGGCACTGTGTATTTATCCGATGTAGAGGTTGTGGAGAAGAGTACGTGGGAGAGACTGCAAGACCGCTGAAGTATCGTCTGGACGAACACAGAAGAGCGTTGTCCAATCCCGCAGCCTACCCACGCAGCGCATTCTCCAAGCATCTTACCCTCAAACATGAGAACGAGGACCCTCCACCATTTGATGTGTTCTGCACAAACATTCAGTGCCACCGCTAGAGAGAAAAATCATGGAGGCGAGGGAAATCCATCGCATCAAGCCAGCAATCAACGCGAGGGAGGAGCTACGTGACCTCTAAGGCTAATCGCGTGATAACTGCGACAAGAGAACCCATGTACCTTGGGACTGGCTGCTGGAGAGTCTTCACACTTCATTTGCGCCGTTGCACCAGCAGGCTCACTCCATCGTGGTCCCCTCCCCACCCGTGGTAGGGATTGATGCTGATTTTACTGTAATTTTTGTAGCGGTAGGTCATTGAAGTGTTGTATTTTGAAGGTCTGACGACGGCGTTATTGCCGAAAGCTTACCAGAGGATTTTGATACAAAAGCTTCAGAAGCATCTCTACAACAGTTTCGATGAAGCGCAGAAATAGCAGCATTCTACAATATTTGTTAATGAATATATTATCAAATACTATTCGATGGAGCACAGATATAGCAGCATTCTACACTATTTGTTAATGATATCATCAAATACACTATTTATTAAGTGTTTGGCCGAGAAGCTATGCCTCTTAGAAAGGCATATAAGGGTTGAAATCATTTTAAAAAATTTAATTTCGACGTCACAGTCGTGCATCAAACGAGGCGGCCTATCAATCCGAGTGTGAGCTTATTGAATTGCCCTGTTAACGGATATCCACGCTCATTAATCATCACCTTTGCTTGATGGCAGAAGTGGAAAAAGTGACGCATGGGCTGTGGAGGCAGTCGGTTCCCAAGAAGGCACCCCATGCAATGCACATTTGCAGGGTCTAAATTCCAATCTCTTAGTCGCTAGAACAAAATCTAAGAGCCCCTGGGAAGTAACAACCCTTGGTCATATACATCACAAGTTTGAGCAGCTTCTGCAAGGTGCAAGCATATATCAAGTGCACAACGCACATACTTGTCACAAACTTGTTTAACTCCACCCGACTTCCAATGAAATAAAAATGAACAAAAATAAAAGAATAGTAGGCAACCATATCCTCTTGTAAAGCATGTAATTATTAGGTTGTCCGGAAAGTTCTCAGCGTTTTGTGCACCTATTTTTTGTACATTCACTGCTGATTAAAAACTCATTCTGCCTTGCTTCTCAGTAGCACATCCTGTAGAGAATTTCTTGCGCTATCTGATGGTATAATTGCCGTTTCACCATTGCTTGATAAACCCCTTTTTTCAAGATTTTTTCAAGCATGTGAAAAGAGCACTTCGGACGATTTTTTTCTTCGACTATAAATTGGGGCAATCCGCAATCGAAACAGCTCAACAAATTAACCAGGTGTGGGGGCCCAATAGTGCTAGAGAAAGCACTGTGCGGCAATGGCAACATTTCGTTCTGGAGATTTCAGCCTTGAAGATGAACCTCATAGCGGTCGACCTAAAGCAATATCTGACGAGGATTTTAGGGGGATTTTGGAGGCTGACCCATCCCAAACAGTTCGAGAGATAGCAGAAGAGCTAGGCCTTGGCAAATCCACTGTTGCAGATGGTCTGGAACGCATTGGGAAGGTGAAAAAACTCGACAATTGGGTGCCCCACAATCGGAGTGACCGGGAATCGGCACGTCTCGAGGTTCCTTCTGCATTGCTTTTGCGCAGCAGAAACGACCTGTTTTTGGGCCGAATTGTCACCTGTGATGAAAAATGGGTCATGTATGATAACAGGAGACGTTCCGGACAGTGGTTGGATTTCGACGAACCACCGAGGTAATTTTCAAAGCCGAACCTTCACGAAGAGTAATACGACGTACGGGCGAATACGACGTACGGGCTTAAATCTCTCGAGTGGAGAAGGAAGAGATATGATTTACTGATGGCTTACAAAATATTAAATGGCTTAGTGAAATTGGACGTTGAACAGTTTTTCCAAGTACTGTCTACTAATACAAGAGGAGTTAGTATCAGACTTAGTGCCACGTTTGCTAGGACTCAGTACAGGTCAAGGTTTTTTAGTAATAGAACTTGTACCAACTTCAATTTGCTCTTACGTTCGAATGTGTTCCCCTTAAAGTATGCTACTTTCAAGAGGCGGGTCGGTGATTTCATTTGAAGTGTTGTAGTTACTGTCTGCATATGTGAGCTTAGAAGCAACTTAATCGGTTTTTATCTGAGCTGGTTTTTTCATTTTTTGTGTTGTTCTTTAATATACTAGAGTTTTCCTGTTTTTATGTTCTATGGTCTATCGGCACGTCCAATAAATGAAATGAAATAAATGAAAAAAGATTCTGGTCACCTGGGCTGTGGTCATCGGCTGGTGTGATCCACTATAACTTTTTATCACCAGGCCAACATCAAGGCAGAATACTGTGAGAAATGACGAAAAAAATTTGTTAACCGAATTTTGTCAGCTGCAGCCAACACTTATCAAAAGAAAGGGTCCGATTCCTTTGCATGACAACGCCCGCCACACGTTTCACAAATCACTATCCATAAATTGAACGAATTGGGGGTTGAAGTTCTACCTCAACCGCCATATTCTTCAGACCTTTCGCCGACTATCACCTTTTCTAACATTTTCAGAACTCCTTGCTGGAAAATACTTCATCAATCAGGACCAGGCAAAAAGCCTTAGTGGGAATATAGAGAATTTTCGACTCACCCAGTTTTTACTTTGATGGGATTTCTCGACTGCTGTCACATTGGCAAAAGTGTGCTGATTCGAATGGTGCCTATTTCGATTAAATCCGATGAGTATTAAAAGTTACGATCGTTTAAAGTGAAACACCCAAAACGCTGAGAACTTTCCGGACAACCTAATATCTATCAAACAGTATAAATCACATCAAGAAAAGTTCCCTTTTCTCACATAAAAATATGAATGTTAAAAACTCATACTTATAATAGTTCCGGAAACAAAGATACTAGGTGGATAGAAACCTAGAAGATCACTTTTTTCCTCCGGTCTGCAGACTATCGCTAATTCAAAGGAAAAAGGAGTAATACAAACCTCATCGGTACACTGGTCCTCTGCTTCTGGATGGACTTCTGTCTCAAGACTGGATTCTTGAGAGCTATTGAGTGAAATATGGGCACGTTTGTGGTTTCGCTTTTTGGGAGATACACTGGGTTCAGCCTGTTGTTTCTTTTCATTCGTAACATTTTGGTTGTCCTTTGATGTGGATCCGTACGAAATTGAAGGTTCTTCGAGTTGAGCAGCGATTGCCTCCACACCATTCCGGGAAGAAAACTGCAAGTCGATGGAATCTTTCAAACAATGTGGTGGGTTAACATCTACAGCCATTGGGTTGACCATTACTTCACTGTATCGCATCGATTCGTCGCTAGTCATATAATGTATTGTCGCTTCTCCAAAAACACTGCCCTGGGGTTCGTTTTCTGGAATGAGAACATTGGATACATGATTTATTTCTACTTCATGTCGCACTTCTTCATCTGAACGGAAATCCTCGACGAAATTGTTCACCCCAGAAATATTCTGCATCCGATCATAGGGGAAGTTAGCAACATTTGAAGACATGTAGTAAGCATCATGTGCATGGTCAGCAGCATCACAATATAACCCTGCAGTATTTAGATCTCCCATCACAGCTCCGTCATCCTCGACTGATTCAATTCCTTGTCGGACCTCACGTGGAAGAGACTTAAATGAGAGATCTGTGACAGCCGTATCATTGTCGGTGTCGGACTGGCTGATCATGATGACATGTGAAGTGATAGAAGAAGAACTAGTTCTTGGCATAATTTTCACACCGAAAGACGACGGCACGACTTTTGTTTGAGCATGAGAGGCAGATGAAGCCGTCTGAGCTTGTGCATCTACTCCTTCTTCGAACACACTTTCAGTAGCCGTGGGATGAACACCATTGGCACTTGACCGCCGCGCCGAGCATAAATAGGGTTGAAATGCTCCGACCTGAAATGACCGCATTAGGGTCTAAGATAGTGAAGTACACATGACTCATATCAGCTCACTAAAACATCGACGGAGTCATTCAGACAGTCGCGGAACAAGTCTTTGTCGTCCACACCTGTAATCATTTCTGGTAGGGTTCCACGATTGCTCCCGTGATAAGTCGCCAAGGATTCCGCACAAGAAGACGGAACGTTCTAAAAACAATTGAAGAGGTAAATTCTCAAACGAAAGCACAAAAAAGAATTCAAAGGAGCTGCCCTAGCAAATAAGAGCCGCGTACTAGCGCAGTGAGGTTCATGCTAGTCTGCAGTGGAGAACTGGGAGGAAAGGGTCTCTCTGTTGCGCCAATGCTTATTCTCAACATCACAGCGTCAATTTCGTACGGATCCACATCAAA